TTTTTGCTTTTAGAGAAACCATGTCATTGGGGTAAAGTGAGACAAGTGTGAGTAGAAGTGGAATAAATAAATTCAAAACAACATTTTAACACAAATCATTTAATAGAAACTGATAAAATCATCAAATCACCTAATCGAATAAAAATATTCAAGAGCTTTCACCAATCAAAATAATCAAATGGCAACAGGAGAACCAGGGCATAAATATTTCTTTTTTCTGTCCCACTTCACCCTAATGTAAAAACTCTTTTTTAAGGTAAATTTCAAAATCAGGGCTTCTAGCGCACACAGTGAAACAAAGCGATTTCTGCTAAATAGAGGGGAGGAAATTTAATTGTTTACATTAAATAACAATATTTAGGCACCACTCCAAATTAGAAATTTCATGCTGTCCCACTTCTCCTGCGTCCCACTTCTCCCCACTCTTCCCTTTGTATGCATGTATAATTTTTTATATTGATTGAAATTTTTATATTAAAATCAAAATTTTTTTTAGGTAACTCATCAAGTTACAATTAGTGTATTGGCGAACTAATTGCTTTCAACAAAATAGACCATTATTAATAAATTTAATAAATTCATAATCATAAAAAAATCATAAATCGAAATAAAATAGCATAAATTGAACAAATTAAGTAGAAACTAGTAAGTACAGTTAACTCCCAATATCTTGAACCTTCAATAATTCAAACTTCCAGTAACTCGAACTAATTTTGAATCCCCATTGCACCTTTATTTAAGGACTATGCTCCTAACAAGCTCCCAAACTCAATCATCTAGCTAAGGCCATCAAGGCCTTAGATGATTTGGCATTGAGTTTTCAACTTGATCAAAATTGACATTATTTTTGAACTGTATAATTATTTTTTTTTGCTGTATCTTTTTAATTAAATTTTTAATTTCCATTGTATTAAAAAAATTGTATTGATGATTTTTATTTAAAACCTTGTTAATAATATTATAATGTAAAACTTAACGCATTTAGTACAAATATATATATATATATATATATATATATATATATATATATATATATATATATATATATATATATATATCAGGGCGCGAAAAATCGTTTTTTTTAAATAAACGTTGACGTTCCTTTCTTTATTTATTGACGAACGTCTAATTTAAGAGGTATGTCAAATATCCAACCCCCCATTCCTTCCTCCACACATACACTTTTTTTTAATTCTTTTTTTAATTTTTTTATTTAAGAGAAATTCTAGATATAGAGGACTTTTTTCATTAATAGATGGTTGCGCACCTCCACTTCGAACCTGTGTGTCGACCAGAATAAGCCAGTTTTATTTTTTATTATTTAAATAATTTTTTTTATTTAATTATAAGGGAGTTTTATTTTCAAATAACTTTTATTCTAGTTAATAAGATATATAATAATTAGATATATCAAAGATACTTATCGAATTTTATTAATTTTTTATTAATTTAATACAATTTTTCACGCATTTGCAATGTGTGCGCAAACTAATGATAACTAATAAGCAATAACCTTTTCACTGTAAACTGTTATCAATAATACAAAATAATGAATTTTTCTAAATTTAGTTTGTTAAATTATAAAAAAAAGATATAAACATGATAAAATTTAAATAAAAGGGAATTATATAAAAATAAAATAAAAGTTATTTTGACATTTTTATTTTTTAAATATTTAAAAATAATAATATGGTATTAAGTATTTAATAGGTTATTAAATTTATAACTTAATAAGTTACTATTAAATACCTGATATGCTATTATTATATTTATAATATTAAGTTAATGTAAGTTCTATAAAATCTATAAAATTTTATATATTTCTGCAAATTTTTTTTAAAACTTTAAAAACAGCAAATAAACATTAATTTAATGATAATAAGAAAATTTAAGAAAACCACGCTTTAGGAAAAAGAATGTTTTAGCATGGTTCCGTTTAAAGTAATTGCAAATGCATATATTTTAAGTTAAACTTGCAATTCATTTGTAAACGCATGTAAAAACCATGCTAAGTATAATTTTTTCTACAGTTGCATACTTAAAAGAAACGCTATTGAAGATCTTCAATAGCGTTACTTTTATTTAATGTTATTAATGTAATTTTTTTTGTTGTATGTATTTGTTGTAATGTTGTATGTTATTAATGTAATTTATTTAATGTTGTTAATGTAATTTATTTTAATGTCATTAAAACTGCATTTTAAATTTTAGTAAGTTATTTTTTTTATATTAATTATGTTTTTTTATAATAAATAAAAAACTATCAATCACATAATTATTTGGAAATAAAAAATTGAAAATATGCGTTCGTTTTTGAAAAATTTAAGCGAACGCCAACGTTTGCTTAAGTAAAAGTAAGGAAAAGTGACGTTTGTTTTTTTGTCTTTTTTTTAACAAACGTTCGCACGTTCGTCGATTTATCGCGCCCTGTATATATATATATATATATATATATATATATATATATATATATATATATATATATATATATATATATATATATATATATATATATATATATATATATATATATATATATATATATATATATATATATATATATATATATATATATATATATACATATATATATATATATATATATATATATATATATATATATATACATATATATATATATATATATATATATATATATATATATATATATATATATATATATATATATATATATATATACTAATTTAGGAAAGTATTTACTTTTATGGATTAAACAATGTCTTCCACCCGGAACTATAATTACAAAAATTAGCAGGCCCTATTATTATTCAAAAAAAAAGGTTTTTTTAAAATTATGTGATGTAGGTACTCAAATAAAGCGAAATTTTATAAAAATTTCAAAAATAATAATTTTTTCATATAAAAATTATTATTTAAGATTTTATTAACTAAAAATTTTTAACTAAAAGTGAAAAAAGTGCATTTTTTGTTTCTAAATGACAATTTTTTTCAGCAATATGATTTTTATAAAATGATTATTATTTTTGATTTTTTTATAAAATTTCGCTTCTTTTGAGTACCAGGTTGACCTACTTTTTAAAAACTTTTTTTCTCCAAAATATTAGGGTACCAGTAATTTTCCCAATAAAGTTGCGTCCTTTAAATCTATCACTATTAAATCTATCATTCTCATATTTGATAGTATCAATATTAATAACTATTAGCATTGTTTAGAGCCTGTAACAAGAAAAAAAATTTGTATGACCCACCCTATATATATATATATATATATATATATATATATATATATATATATATATATATATATATATATATATATATATATATATATATATATATATATATATATATATATATATATATATATATATATATATATATATATATATATATATATATATATATATATATATATATATATTTATGTATATGTATATATATATATATATATATATATATATATATATATATATATATATATATATATATATATATATATATATATATATTATATATATATATATATATATATATTTATATATACTGGAGTGTTATTAGACACACTTTGTTCTACTTTAACATTTTTTTTCCAAACTAAAACAGCAATTTTAAATATTTTGAGTGCGTCTAATGGCGCTTTATTTATTATTATAAATAAAGCGCTATTAGACGTGTATTATATGTCTTTTTTTTGCTTCTTTTTTATTATACCTGTTTAGCAGATCTTGTTAAATTTGTTAATGTATTTATTTATAATTATATTTTACATTGCTTTCAAGACACTTAATTGTGTACCTATATAACGTTTTTTTTTTTTATAATATAGTATAAAATTTTATTATCATTTCAACTAAAGATAACTTAAATTTATTATAATAAGTGACAAAGTTCTCGTCACTTATTATAAATATTTGAAGGTTTATATCATGAATAATGTGTCTATAATTTTGTAATAACTTTAAAACTGTTTTATAACCTAACAATTCAGCCGCATATTTAATAAATCGAAAAAATAATTACAAACTAGCACTGACTAACAACTATACAAAGTATATGTAACCAACACAAAAATCATACTCTAAGAAGTCCAAAAAAATCATTAATGTAATATCAATTGGTTTATTCTCTTAACCTCTTTTGGACACAAAATATTGCTAAAACATTTTAAAAATGTAATAGACAACATTTACTTAAACTTAAACATTAAGCAAAATCCTTAAGAGAAATAAGAAAAAAAGTGAATCAGTGAACAAGTGAACAGCTGCACTAAAAATATTAAAAAAACTATTAAAAACCTTAAAAAAAAATTATTTTTTTTGAAAAATAAAATAATCATTTAATGTTCAAATGCAATGATCAGCAAATATTGTATATATGTATCAGTACAGCTAAGAGCAAGTCCAACAAAGTTTATATTAGATTAACATAGGTTGAGTGAAAAACAGGATATAACAATCAGAAATCATCATAAAATATTGGTAAAAAAAATTGTTCTGATTTGAAAAATAAAACTGTTTGGGTTTGAAAAATAAATTTAACAAAACCCTTATTTTCACATAGTCAATTCTAATACCTGTGCTCGTACTCTGTACAAAAATAACCTAGTAATAATTCTAAAAAAAGCCTAAAATGATTATATAAAAAATTTTAAAATTGCAAAATAAATATGACATCAAATTATTTTAAACATTATGAAGGTACCTATAAGACCCTTTAACTAACACTTATTATTTTTAAAACATCTGCAATTAAACAGATATAAAGTCGGTTTTTGATTCTTGTAATATACTTTAAATTTTTTAATTAAAATTTATAATTTTTATTTACACTTTTATATACTATTATATACTGAAGCAGGCAAAAGTAACAAAACTAGAAAATAAATTTACATTACTTTTGAATGATTATTCATTTGACTCATTGATTTGAGCCATAGTATTATAGTAGTTGACAAATATAAAATTAATAGCAATTACATAACTGACAAATAAAGATATAAATATAATACAAATATTTACATATGGAAGATAGAGAAATTAACCACCACATCAGTAGCATCAATATTTTGGATAGTTGTAACAGGTGTTCCGTCACCAAAATCAAGTGTAAACTGTACTCTGTTGCCATTGTAAATGCTTATAACTGTTTCATAACTGCTGTATTGTAATTGCATTTCTATAATGTTCATACTTATGCTATTTATTTCAGACAAAACAACAATATTAACTGAGGTGTTAATTAAGTTAACCTTGTTGGCTGCTGCCAAGTAAACAGTAAAATTACCTATAAAATAAAATGCTAAAGATTATTAAAAGAAAATGTAAAATTTGTTTAAAAAAATAAATGCAATCAACTTTATTACCAATTTCCCAGTTATTTTTTTTTTTAAAAAACACTTTTTTTTTATTAATTTTAATAATAGCGAAAATAGTTTTAAAAATTCAAATAAAGTTTATTCTTAATTCCATTAGCTTACTTTTTTTAATTTGATATTTATTTCTATTTCAGTTTCCTTTGAGAGTTTTAAAAAAAAAAGCTTAAAAACCAGAGTGAAAAAATTTAATCATATTTTAGTAATTATTGGTTTTTCTATTTAACTTTATCCTTACTATTAATTTTTCTATTAACCTTATCCTTGTTAATAATTTTTTTTTTTTTAACTTTATTATTATTAATAATTTTTCTATTAACTTTATCCTTATTAATAACTTTTATAAGAAAATACCAATCCTATCATTAGTTATACCTTATATGAAAACATATAATTAAAAGTAAAAAAATTTAACTATAAGAAAATATCAGATTTAAGAAAATGGTTTATAAGAAGATTATGGTTAAAAAAATGATAAATTGAATAAGTTTGTTGCAAACTTTTTCACATCAAAAAGGAATATTTTTCTCCTCTGACTCAAAAATAAAGTTATAAAGCTTGAAGATGCTAAGCTGCACTTTATTTATTAAAAATAATAATTGGATATAGATGCAGGAGATTTGAAATATCATTATAAAAAATCAAAAATTTAAAAAAAACTAAAAAATTAAAAAAAAACTAAAAAATTAAAAAAAAACTAAAAAATTAAAAAAAAACTAAAAAATTAAAAAAAAACTGTGCACAACTAATATTTTTTATGTTTGCATTTGTTTACACATTTACCATCAATAAATTCAATAATACCAGTTATACAATAATATTTATATACAATATTTTGAGATTATTAGAGAATATTTAGAGATAATTTAAAGATAATCTTTGTTCTTTAGTTAAATTATCGGGTAATCTAGGTTTTATGTTTTAAATGAGAATTTAACTTAGGTTTTGTCAAATCTTTTCTGCATCAGATTTTTTATTATAATTTTTCTTTAAAATTTCCATAAAAGGTAACTTAAATATTACATTAAATATATATACATATATATATATATACATATATATATATATATATATATATATATATATATATATATATATATATATATATATATATATATATACATATATATATATATATATATATATATATATATATATATATATATATATATATATATATATATATATATATATATATATATATATATATATAAAATATATATATATATATATATATATATATATATATATATATATATATTCACTTACTAAAGCATGTTTTGATAAGCATTTGCTCACTTTTTCTGCTTACCTTAAGATATACTGTTTTTTTCGAAAAAGAAGAAGAAAAAACGAAGAATGATGAATGAAACAATTGCTTACCCATCCCAAACCCTCAGTCTATATATATATATATATATATATATATATATATATATATATATATATATATATATATATATATATATATATATATATATATATATATATATATATATATATATATATATATATATATATATAAATATATATATATATATATATATATATATATATATATATATATATATATATATATATATATATATATATATATATATATATATATATATATATATATATATATAGGCCATGGCAGGAGTAAATGAGTGTGAAAGCAGAGAAAAACTCTACAAAAACGAATATGGCAAACCATGAACCTGCTTCAACAAGACTTACCTAAACAGCTTCTTACAAGAGCTTTTAGTTTTTTTTTTTTTTTTTTTTTTCTTGAAATATCTTTGAATCTTCTATTATCATTATCATAAATGATATAATCATAGAATATACTTTTATTTATAAATAGTATGTATTTTTTAATCTGTTTTTAAAGTTACTAAAGTTTAATTTTTAAATGTTTTATTAATGAAACATATTCTGTTTTGTGATGCATTGATTCTTGACAGGCTGTTAATTTTATAGAAGGTAAGAACGGTGTTATAAATATAAGTAACTTGTTTTTATTTTTTATTGGTTTTAAATAATTTAAATGTTAGATATTTGTGTTTTATATGAATCTTATTTTAAAGCACAGTGTTATTGTCTGGTGGTAATATTCAGGTTTGATTTTATCAAGTTAAATTTACTTTTGAAGAATCTTTTAAATTTACTAATAAAATTTCCATGTTTTTTTTTTAGTTTCTACTTCAACAAATTTTTTCAACAAAATCTTTCAAATTTAATAACAATATTTTGTTTGTTATTTTAATTTTAGTACCACAACATATTGTAGATATTATTTATAACATATTGTAGATTTTATTTTCTAATTATCTTCATCTTTTAACTGAATTAAAAAAAAAATTAATTTTTTTCTAATATGACTGTGTTTTATCTATTTTATGAGATATTTTACTAATGGTTTGATTGCTCTAAACTGCATTTAATTTTTAATTTGATTACCTGTATTTTTATACTTTTATTAATATTTTATTTTATTGTTTTTTTATTTTATTATTATTTTATTTTATTATTATTTTATTTTATTATTATTTTATTTTATTATAATTTTATTTTATTATAATTTTATTTTATTATTATTTTATTTTATTATGTTATACTTTTATATTTTTATACCTATATTTATTATAGCCAACAGAGTTGTAGCAATCCCAGGAACAATAGCTGCTGTAACACCCTTATCTGAGTGAGCCCTTGTTCTGGACCCACACAGATAAGGGTGGTGCAGCTTCTCCTCATTAATAGGGAAGAGATTACTCTTGCCGAAAGTGGATTGAGTTAGTAAGGAAGAAGGGGAAAATACTTAACTGCATCTACAAAACGAAGGAATAATTAAATGTTTTTAGTTTGATATGCATATTTTTATGAACCTTTTTTGTTAAATTTCGTTTGTAAACAAATACAAATATTGTTTTTATTTATTTTTAATAGTAAGTTATTTTTATTAAAAAAATTTTGTTGAAAAGGTGAACATGCTGTTTCTACACTAAACACCATTAAAACTTCAGCAAACATGCAAAATATTAAAATAATTTGATTTTAACTTTGCAAACTTTAAGCAATTAAAATTTACTATGTTGATCATTAAAATAATTTTAGTTTCTTGTTGAATTACAAAGTTTGTTTGCACCAATAGCTTTTATGTTTTCGTTATTTTGTGTAATAGCTAATTGTCTTTGCAATATATATTTTTTCTTACAGGCTTTGACTATTTTTAACAATGCTCTAAAAAATACATCAGCAACAGGTAAATTAGTTTGTAGTGTTAATATGATTTTACTTCTTTTATCATGTCATAATTTTTTTTTTCATTTTAGATATATCTTAGGAAGGCGTAAGATTTCACATCTTTATATGACCACGCAAATTACATATTGCTATGAAGGTTTGACCGCGGCTACTTCAACAAATGTTTAAAAAATGCGTTAAATTAAAAATATTCTAAAAAAGTGAATCGAATTACATCAAAATTTCTAAAAAAATATTTTTATATTAGCAAAATGATTTTAAATAAAGTAACAATTTACTGAATTTTTTTTTTTTAATATAATTGACAGTTGTAAATATTTTTTTTAATTTATAACATATAAATTGTTCATTCTTAAAATAAGCGTTATTAAAAAATAAAAAATTGTTTTGTTTTTATAAATGATGACATTCTACGACTGCGAAAGTCTTTTTAATGAATTTAAATATAAGAATAATTAAAGTTAATGCATTTCAAAAGATAAACATATTTTCCTTAAAAAAAAAAGTTTAATATATCGAAACGCTTTTTAATGAAGTAAAAAAACACTTCTAACTAATTTTAAAAAAAAGTATTAATAAGATGTTTTCTTTTTAATGTATATAATTTTTTAATGTATATAAGTCATCCTTAAAGGCCAACACTCTTCTTTATTTCCAGTAACTTCTAGGGTTCCCCAAGGTTCCATCCTGGGCCCTGTTTTGTTTCTTATCTACATAAACGATCTTCCTGACAACCTTTCATCTAAAGTAGCTCTTTTTGCTGATGACTCAACTTTATACTTGAACTTGAATCTGATCTCACTTCAGTAATAGATTGGGGTTCACAGTGGCTTGTGAATTTCAACTCTAAAAAAACCCAGTTGCTTACTGCAAACAACTACCGTAATATGGTCAACATTCCTATATTAATGAATAGCAATCCTCTTACTGAGTCGTCCTCTTTACGTCTTCTTGGATTATCGCTTACTACTGACCTTTCATGGAAACCATATATACAATCGATTGCTAAATTAGCTTCTGCTAAGGTTGCTTCTCTTTATCGTGCTCGCCATTTCCTTACTTCTGATTCCATTCTCTACCTCTACAAATCTCTTATTCGTCCCTGTATGGAATACTGTTGTCATATTTGGGCTGGTTCTTCTAACGATTCACTCTCTCTTCTTGACAAGGTCCAAAAACGCATTGTAAATGTTGTTGGACCTGGACTATCTGCTAAGCTTGAACCTCTTTCCCATCGTCGTAAAGTTGCATCTCTTTCTCTTTTCTACAGATACTATCATGATCACTGCTCAAAGGAGTTATCATCTCTAGTAACATCAACTAAAATTCATTCTCGTTTTACTCGTCATTCAGCTAAGTCTCATTCGTTTTCTGTATCTGTCCCTGCATGCTCTAAAAACTTTTATTCATCATTTTTTTCCCCGCACTTCAATCCTTTGGAACTCTCTCCCATCTTCATGTTTTCCTGACTCATACAACCTTCAACTTTTCAAGTCTTCTGTCAACCGTTTCCTTGCTCTATAACTCTGTTCTTTTTTTTTCCTAGTAACTCCCAACTTAATAGTGGTTGCTTGCAGCCTTGTTGGGAGTGAATGCAAATAAAAAAAAAAAAAAAAATTTATGTATTATTTTTTTATGAAAAATGTTTAACTTTTGAAACGTATTAAATAAATAAAAAATATATACCAATGTTGAAAACCAAAGTTTGCAATGGTTTTTTAATGCGTAAATTAAATAGAGTAAACATGTTAGTTTGATGAGTTTTGTTTTAGTTGCATTATATTTATTTTTTTTTGTTTTTGCTTTAACTAGGTATTTTTTTTATTTTCTTTTTTGGTAAGATTTTTTTTCTTTTTGCAAATTTTTTTTTAGATAAGTTTAGGTAAGTTTTTGTAGCGCATTTTTAAATTTTGAAAATATGTTAAAAGCCATGGTCAAATCGTTAAAACATATAATTTTTTGCGTGGTCATATAAAGAGGTGAAATCGCACATCTTCCTGTGAAAGCCTGCAATGCATTTTCAGCATATTGTAGATGAAAAAGAGGGCCCATATCTCATAAAACACATAAGGTGTGGGCTTAAATTTAGGGCAACAGCTCTCTTTTTTGCAAAAATGGGTAATGTGTAATGTTTTTTGTTTGTTTTAATATAGAGTTATAGATAATTAAATAGTGTAAAAGATGATATTATAGCATGCCAAAATGGTTGAAGTGCTTTGTGTGGGTTTAAATCCTTCTGTTTACACACTTAATTTTTTTTTTTTTTAATCTTTGGCAGTTTTCTAGAATAGAAAGTAAAACATTTTTAAAGGCTATAGATATTAAATGCTTTACATATATAAAGATATTATATACTATATCAAACGAAAGGGAGAGAGATTAAAAAACTTTTTAAAATTTCCAAAAACATTAAAAAGCTTTAAAAAATTTTAAAAAATATGAAAACACCGTTAAAAATTTGTACACATATGATACTCAAGTTATTAGTGTTTTTTCACATGAAACCTTAAATTTTCTTTAAAATTAACGGGGCAAGAGTCCTAATAAGCTGCAGAAAATGGTCAGTGTGGAATAGACTTTCCATGACCAGTATTTTACAAGTCATGGTAAGTCCGTTATTTCACATGTTCTTTGAAGCTTTTTATACTGACAGTAATTAATTAACACATTTCAAGCGGGTATACAAAATATTATTTAGGCTGGTACTAATATCAAATCTGTTGATAAATAGTGATTGGCGCAAAGCTTTTTAAAATTGATAAAAGTAATTTTTTTTTTCCTTTAAAAAGTAAATATTAAGCATTTAAAAAGTAAATATTAATTAAAAAAGTAAAACTTTAAAAAAAAAAACATTATACATAATTTTTCTATAATTTTTTTACCACTTACTAAAAAATATATATGTAAGGAACAAAAAAGGTTGGTGTGGAATAAATGTATCAAGATATATATATATATATATATATATATATATATATATATATATATATATATATATATATATATATATATATATATATATATATATATATATATATACATATATGCATATATGTATATTTGTATGAATATAAAACAAAGAATTAAAAGAAGAAAAATAACATGCTTACCGTATCTAGTCATTTTTAACATTGCTGTAGTATTTGTTGTATTTACAGAACAATTTAGCTCTGGAATACTAAACAAATATGTAACACCTGATCCATTTATAACAGCTTTAGAATATAAATATTTATTGATTATATAACCTGCAACATCATTGAGAACTGGCATTTGGCTATCAAACTGCAATCCAGAAACCGGGCTCTATAATTGTTACATAAGTAAAACTTTATTTTTATGTACCTAATTTCCACTTACTAACTTCCTTAATTACTCTATATATAAAATATAAGTACACTTATATAAACTTAATTTAGAATGTTTTTCAATAAATATATATTTTGAGCTACAATTTTCAATAATTAAGCATAGCTATAGCTATACACTTTTAACAAACCTGAATTGGAAATGAATAATATAGTCTTCGAATAGGTGACACATGACTATAGAGATCAACAGTGAAATTATACAACCCTATTGCGCTTGCTGGAATAGGAATCAAACATTCAAACGACTTAGATATAAACAGTGATACAAAAAAACCATCGGCCATTTGATCAGTTAAAAATAAAATTGTTTTTCCCAACTCTATTTCTTGAATTTTGTTATAATATTCTTCATTACAAAATAAACTAGCACTTCCACCAATCCACACCAAGTCGTTTTCTTGAACATCGTTTATGTTACTTTGAATTGGTATCTCAATAATTCCAGTTGAATTTAATAAGAATATAAACTCTAAAATAAAAAATTATATATTTTGTAACAAATTAACTTCCAGACAATCGTACATAAATCTATGAACCATATTTTTTAACAATTTTTATTTAATGAATTAAATGAAGACTAAAAAGATGAGTAATAATAAGTTATTTTAATTATTTTTCAACTTTGAAAGGACCAAAATTTAAAAAAATTTAAAATTTTAAGTGATTATCAAATATTAAAAAACCTGAAATTACCACAGGCATGTATACAACATATTTGATAGTTAAAAATGTCTATGGGCAGGGCTCAAAAAGTCCCAAACAAAATTTCTGATTAAATCATGTTTGGGTCGGACAGTGTCCAATCAAATTTTTAAAATACAATTTTTCTGGTATTAAGGAAACAAGTTATGGTATCAACATCTTTGTCATATTTTTCAGTTTATTTAGTGAGGTTGTAGTTTCTTTCCTCATTATTTAGAGTATTTTATCACAGATTTTTGTTTTTAATAAAATAGTTTTAATTTAATATTGTATGTTTTTTTAGATAGAACTGAATTTCACGCTGAAACAGTTACTGTTCTTCAGTTACTGACGACACTTTTTTTTTTTTTCTTTATAATTTGACGACTATTGTTTTGATGTTTTAACAATTTAAATGTAATAAAAAAATTTGTTAAGTTATGATTAACTTTTAACCATTGAATTTTTTTTTTGGTCAAGTTTTTGTTTTACGTGAAGGTTTTAAATAAAATCTAAAATTCATTATAATATAGATCATTTAAAATAAACACGTTATGTGTAAATTAAATGTTATACTTTTACATGTCTTTTTTAAAATATTTTAAAAGAATAATTTTTTTAAGTTACTTTAAACTATGAAAAAGTTAATGGTTAAATTAAATCTTCTCATGATTTATTTGCTTTATTTTTTTGTTTTGTTTTGTTTCTAAAACAAGAAAAAGGTAACATAGATCGAGGTTACTTTTTTTTAAAAAATTTTTTCTGTGCAACTTTTTGAAAAAAATGTTTATACAACTTTAAAATATTATATTTTTTTCTTTTTAATAATTTAATTTCACTTTTCAATAACTTAAATAAAATTTTTTCATTTATATATCTATAATCATCAATCAATAAACGTAATTAGTAAAAGCGTTTTGCGCAACTTTTTGAACCAATTTTTTAAAATGTAATTAAAAACGTAACAAAAAGTAATTTTAACTTCGAATTTTTATGGTTTTGTTTTAAAGCTAATTTGTTTTCTTTTTTGTAAGGAATTATTTAATTCTTTTTCGTAAGGAATTGTTTTGCTTATTTTTAGTTTTTTCAATTTTTTTCTTGTTTATGTTTAGCTTAAAGTTTCTATTTTAGCGCATTTCTGAAACATTTAAATCACCAAAACATCTAAACAGTCGTGGTCAAGCTGTAAACAAAAAAATTTGCGTGGTCAGCAATAGCGTTTGATTGCACGCCAAGCTTTATTTTGTAGAATTCAATTCAAAATGTCCAATAATTTTGTAAATTGGCCCGACAATCTGAGGTTTTAGCCAGACAATGTCCGATGTCCGACCGTTAAATTGAACTCTGTATGTGTGTAGAAAAAATTTTGCTCATGACTTTTTTGCATTATCTTGCATTTTTTTTAAATTTAGGAAAAAACTAGTTTTATTAAAAACTAAAACATCAGTTGCAGATTTAAATGATCTATTAGAAAAACGTAATGCTCAGAGAGCCTGGTAAAAAAGTGGCATCACTCATCAGAAATGTAACATCACTTCCTTAACTCTCATCTGGAGCTTACATCAGACTTACATCTTGAACATATTATAAGTGATTCTCTTGAACATATTTTAAGCAATAAAAAAAAACCTTACAACAAAAATACTAAACTGCTTAACTAACAACACAAATAAAGTATAGAGAAGTAAATCAAGATATTCTAAATAATAAGCAAATACTAAAACTACATGATAATATAAGTAAAAAGCAACTAGGTACAGAATCAACCTGAAAATGTCATGAAGATAAATTATGCTAATACAGTTGACTCTAATTATCTAGAACTCTCAGAGGGGTTGTTAAAAGTTCAAAATATAGATAGTTCGATATATTGAGAAAATAATTGGAAATTAGAAAGATTGTTAAACTTTCACTAAAAACACCATATTTTCTTTCTGAAAAAAAAAAATAAATCAAATTTTTCAAAGAAATCCATAACATGATGCTCCTTCAAACTATCTTTTTTTTTTAACTTCATTAGACTTTCAAGTTTCAGTGCTAGGAATCGCATTTCATTTTCCATATTATGGATAGTTTAGCAAAGCATTTTAATGTTTTATAAACATTATCATTGTTGGTAGTGATAAGTTTTACGGTTTCCAGCTGCTATGCCTGTTAGAGTGAGTTACTTTCCCTCCAGAACATTTCTCTTGTGACAAATGTTATATTTTATTTTAGAGGAAAAGTAGTTCCAACTCATCAGCTTTGAAAGTGTTTTTAAGTTTGTAATTTGAAAGCCATCTTGGTATTGTAGTATCATTCTGTGAGAAAGTCATATCATTTTTTAATGAGGAACTTTTGCCAGTATCTAAAGCTGTTGGCATTCCTTAGAATTCCATTATTTCATAAAAATGAAAAAGAAATCAAATTTTCACTCAGAAAATTAATCACTGATCTACATTTAAATCTTATAAGATTTGACAAAATGGAAATGATCTTTCAAATTGTGAAACTAACAAACATATGCTTTAAACTCTAACTCTTCTAATTCTTTTGCAAATGTTAGTGCTTTTTTCTTTTAACATGTCACAACTGAAAATCTGAACAAACATTGTAGCTTCATTACATATCTAGCAATTCTAACTTTGTAGTTTTACCTATTTTGTTGCAAATTTAAACCTCTATGTTTATACTATAGCATTTTATCTTTCATAACTTAATTAAACACATCAGAAAGCTCAAATAATCAAGAGGCACTCCAAAAACGAAAATGTAAACTTATTTGGATTTGTATCCAAATAAAAAAAAAACTTTTATTGGTAATGTCTTTTGCATAGAAAATATTTAAAAATAGACTCTGTACAATACACTATGACAAAAAGAAAACAATATAGGACCAGATAAAAAAGTTGGAAGTGGTTTGCAAAAAAAAAAAAAAAATACAGATAAAACTAAAACTTGACTAAACTGTTTTTCACAGTATAGTTTACGCAAGAGATTTAATGATTCAAAAAGCACATTAGGTTAGAAAGCTGTGCATCCTAAGTGCCAAAAATTGGTTGCACTTTTTTTTTTAAATTGCGATCCTTGATGATGAGTCATACTTTCCTTTAAGCAACAATGGGGTATCAATGGGTTTCCTTTAAGCAACCATGGGGTATCAATGGGTTTCCTTTAAGCAACAATGAGGTATCAATGGGCAACAATGGGGTTTCTATCAATGCAGGGTATTATACTTCTGATCCAGACGCAATTTCTAATTAACTCAAAAGAAAAAGCAAATACAAGCCAAAATTATTTGTTTAAATGGCCTTGTCAAAAAAAGGAGTCTTAAAGCATTACATTGCACTTTTGAGCCAAGCATTGAACAAGGATATGTACATTTCCAAATGTCTAGTTGAATTTTAAAAGTTCATCAATGAAGTTCACAAAAACTACCAAACTGTGTTCTGGCCTGAGGGTCTGCAAACTATTCAAAAAAAGTACCTAAAAAGTGAAAATATCAAATACTTTAAAAATCCTTTAACGTCAAAAACCCTGCTAATTTTCCCAAATAGCGCCCGATAGAGGATTTATGGACTAAAATTAAAAAGATTGGTTTATGCTAATAATTGGTAAACTTGAAATAACATCTAACTAAAAAATTGAATTGAGTATGAAATAACTAAAAATTGTAAATGAGTATGAAATAATTAAAAATTGCAAATGTAGGCTTGGGGTAAGTTTGTCACAAGAGTTGACCATGTTTACAAAAATGGACTGAAAAATAATTTATATTTTTTATAATTTTGTAAAACAGAAGTTCCTCATTACTATGCTCTTTTTAAATTAGTAAAATAATGCTGACTACGTTCAAGTTTTTAAAAGTTTTTCCAGATTTTTAGCTGTGACATGTTAGTATTTTGCCATTAATATATAAATATTGACATTTTTTTGTAACAAAGCACATAAATATGGCCTTTTTTAAACTTTTGAAATACCATATTAGGTCAATAATACTATTTTATTTGTAATTCAGGCTATTTTCTTCTTAGGGACACCAAACCTTTGGGCTAACACTTTATAAGATATTCCTTCCCACAGATCTTGTAATGCCTTTCTGATTTTCTATGATTTGTTTATGAGTCTTTGTTTAATAGCATCTTTAGCAGCATCTTTTCACATTTGATAGAAACAATCAATTATTATTCAAAGGAATACTTTTTTAACACTTAAATTATAAAGTTTTTTAAATATTTAAAAAAAAATTGACCGAGAACCAAAAATACTTTTTGAGCCTAAAAGTTCAAGTTCTTGAGGTTTATGATATGAACATAAAAAAACTTCAAAATTATAAAACTATACAATTTAAAATTTTAAATAAGAAAATATTTTTTTCCATTTTTTTATTTTAATATATATATATATATATATATATATATATATATATATATATATATATATATTTCATCCATATCACATGATCAGCCTTTGGAATTAGTACAAATGAGGTCGGAAATAATTTGCCGAACTTTAATCTTTTAGAGATCTGCATCAGGTCAGCAAAAAAAATTTGATAAAAAGATTTAACCATAAAGCATAGAAACAATATTTGTGATTTTTGCTGACCTTAAACACTCCTAGGTTGTCAGTAAGGTAACATTTTTGGATGCCCAGCCTAATTCCAAGGGCTAAATGATGTATAAAAAATGCATTTTTAAGTTCATTTTTAACAAACTTACTTTTAACAACAACAGCTGTAATTGTTACAGATTCATTTGACAAAGAAGCAGTTGCACATTCAAATTCAAAGGGGCAAAAATCTACGGAGCTATTAAGTAATGGTCTCAAAATCTAAAGTTTATATAAAATAATGAGTTAAGGTAAACAATCAATTTATAGAATACATTTAATATTTTCATAAAAAACAAAAGTTTATTTCATCTCAGCTTATCATATAAAATAATGAGTTAAGGTAAACAATCAATTTATAGAATACATTTAATATTTTCATAAAAAACAAATCTTTTTTCATCTCAGCTTATCATAGTATTTGTGTTGATAAGAAAAAACTAAAAAAGTTCAGAAGAGGAAGTAATCTACTGTTAAGGGTAGTAGTCTTTGAAGAAAGAAAATGGAAACATAAATGGAATCAAAATGCAATTTCTTAAACCAAGTAAACTGGCCATCTTTTGGACAGGGTAATTATTCTCCAGAGTCCAAATTGTAACATAAATGGTGTAGAAAAATTTCACGTATCTCATAGAACTATCAAACAAAGAAAAACATCTTGAGGATAAAGATAAAAATAATTTGAAAACCATTGAAAGTTTGATAGATGATTTAAGTAAATCTATGCAATCAGTCACCTTTGCCAATATTGGCAAAAGTACAAATTCTTACAAAAGGTGTAAAAACTGTTAAAAAACTACCTGAGCTAATCCAACTATAACCGATTAAATATATTAAAACTATAAATTAAAAATCATGATTAGTGTGCATCGTCCAAAAATCATTAGAGTAAGTAAAACTCAATAATAACTCAGTTGTTGAAATTACTGGATACAATACATAGAGGTGTGAAAGAACTGGTGATCACAGAGGCGACAGTGTATACTTATATATAAAAAATTTATTGAAAATAAATTCTTTAAAACTTTAAATAATACTTTTCTTTACCAACATATAAACATACCAACAATTGCCTCTAATATACTAGTATACTAGAGGTTTTACCTCTAATATAATAAACCATATTATTATATAATATTCACAACTGGTAGTGTATATGGTGTTGATGCAAGTTGTATGCTAAGTAACATAACCAAAGGTCATAGATTTATTTTTAATAACTTTGCCTTGAAAAACAATGAAAGTAGATTAGCTCGTAGTAACTACAGGTTTTTATCTAGCAAAGCTGACTTCAGTAAAATATATTTGATTATATGTATAATATTGATTGAGTGAAGTTTTATGAAACAAGATCTGTGCAGGACAAGTACAAAGAGTTAATTTACCATACAACCGAGGCATATAGCATAAATATTCCAACTATAGACGCTTCACTAACTAAGAGTTTCTTGGATTAACAATGATATCAAGCAATTAATAAGAAGACAAAAAAATTAGACACATAAACTGTGCTCATAAAGAATATAAGCTGCTATGCAATTTAGTTACAACAAAAATATATAATGTTCGAATGTTATTTGAATTAACTAGAAAATAACTCTAAACAAAATCCAAAACTGCTCTACAAGTATTTAAACAGTACAAAATTAATCAAAAATTCAATAAAATCAATGTGAATGCCTATTGGTGATTTATCCCATGAACCAATAGAAATTGTAAATTGTCTCGATAAACATTTTCAGAATGTCTTTATTACTAAAATAGCAGGAGATCTCCCTCCTTTTAATCTTGAACTAAATAATGTAAGTAAATTTGAAGACATAAATCTAATAAAAAAAGCTTTTGAGTTCTTTCAAAACTTAATTCACTTAAAAAAAAAATCACCTGGAGTTGACAAACTTTGCTCTACAGTCCTTGAAAATTGTGCTGTATTGCTTGCTATTGTTTATATATATCGTTTGCTATCATTTATATATATATATATATATATATATATATATATATATATATATATATATATATATATATATATTGTTTGCTATCGTTTATATATATCATTTGCTATTGTTTATAAATATATATTGTTTTCTATTATTTATATATATTGTTTTCTATCATTTACATATATTTAAACATTCAATAATCTTAAAGGTATTGATCCACCGTAAGAAGAAAATTTATGGAGAAGACCAGCATGCTTAACTTTATCAAAAGCTTTAGAAATATCATAAGCAATAGCCTTAACCTCTTCACATCCATTGAATGCATGATAAAACCTTTCAGTTATTACTTTTAGCAAATCAGCTGTAGAACGAGGAGATTTAAATCCATATTGATGATCAGAAAATAAGTTATTAGATTCAAGATTCAGTGTTAGTTAATTAAAAACTTAAAAACCTCGCTTATGATAGGTGAAAAACTAATGGGATGATAGTTAAATAATAGATAGCTAGATGAGTCAGATCGCACTCCAGAGTTTTTGAAAATAGGGATAACAGATGCTGCTTTCCAGCAGGCTGGAAAACAAGACTCTGATTGGCACTTGTTAAATATTTTGAAAGTATAGATGACAACTTTTTTTGTTTGTTTTTTGTTAATTCACTTCCTCAAGGCCGAGAATGCAACTGCAGACAAGGAGGCTACTTATTTGTGGTTATAACCTTCTCTCAATTCTATAACTCTGAAACATGAACCTTGACTAACAAGGCAAAATGAGTTAAGCGCAGTACTACCAGGGAGAGATGAATTGAGCACGGTACTACCAGGGACATGGTGGGGATGGAACTCGGAACCTCTCGCTTATCGAGCAAGCGCTCTACCACTACACAACTACTGCTCCAGAGAACACTTCTGTAAGATTATAACAGGTATGCTGCCCGGACCACAAGCTGTACTTAAAATCATCAAAAGACAATAAAAGATTCCTTACCAGCATAAATTCAAGAAGTTATATAAGAAGCACATTTGTCAGCAGGAAGAGATTTCTACCCACGGGTCATCACAAAGAAAATCACGTAAAGAAAAACACACACATATGTATATTACTTTTTTTTATCAAGTAGAGTATTATTATTCCTTTAAGATTTTAGATTTGGTATTAATTTTGTATATATATATATATATATATATATATATATATATATATATATATATATATATATATATATATATATATGTATATATATATATTATTTATATTATTTTAATACATAAAATTTTGGATTTTAGATATGTATAATTTGGTTAGTAAAATTGTTGTCAAATGTTAGGAAATTTTTAAAAGCTTATTGCTTGTTTATTTATTGATTTTTTTAAATTAAAAACTTTTACATAAAGTCTTACATTAATTTTCAAAGAACCTTTTGTAGAAGCTTTAACTATTAACTTTGTAAAATGACCAGAAGTTAAAACCACTTGTTTTAAAACATAACCATCTGAAAGTTTGCAATACTTTGTTGTAGTAGTGTTTAACAAGGACACATTAAACCCATATGACAGTCTAAGAAGATCTAAATAAAATTTATTTGAAGAATATAACAAATAATAAATTAAATATATACTATTAAACAACATATGTAATATTATGAATTTATATAACTAATGTGTGAATATAAAGATCAGAATTGGGTACACGCTATCTCTCTACTTTAATGGTTTCCCAGGATACTTAAAATGTATATGTGCCAAATGTACATATATATATATATATATATATATATATATATATATATATATATATATATATATATATATATATATATATATATATAAATGTATATATATATGTATATGTATATATATATGTAATATATATATGTAATATATATATATATATATATATATATATATATATATATATATATATATATATATATATATATATATATATATATATATATATATATATATACATATATATATGTAATATATATATATATGTATATATATCAGGGCTTGAATTAAGCTTATCGCAATTACTTTTCACAAAAAATATTTTCGCAATTTGTTTTTCTTTATTTTATTTTATTTTTTTAATTTAGCATTTTGTTTTGGCAATTCTTAAAAGTAACATTTTTTGTTCAAGTTTTTTTAAAGCATTCTTAGAGTATGTCACACTAAATTTATCTTTTAAATAGATAGATAATAGTTATTGAATGCTAATAGAAACCAGTAACTTTTTGCTTCACTTTAACGAACCTTGAATCTTTTAAATTTATATTTACTTTGATTTACTGAATGGATAAAGTACTTCACAATAAATTTACAACCAATTAAGTTACTTCAGTAATTTACAGTTACTCAAATATTAACTATACAACTATATTAATTTACTTAATATACTCAAAGACTCGCAAAAGTTAGCCATACAAATGTTTCTGTTTTTATCTTATTAGTTGTTAACACATAATATATGCTTTTAACTAAAAATTATCTAAACAAGAAATGTCAAACGAACTCGAAAAATGTTATATTTTTTTTATATTTAATTTTTTATATAAAGCGATATCAACATAAATCATTTCTATAAATACACAAGTTGTTTTTAGAAATCTTTTAAAAAGAAATTTATTTGAGCAAAAGAATTCATCTAAAAAAAAGTCTTCTAAAATTCTTTTATTCTAATATTTTTGCGAATAAAAATTAAAATTAAAAAAAAAAAAAAAAAAATTTGAAAATTTTTAAAAATTTTAACATTCAATAATTTTAATTGCAGTGGCATTTGTAATACCAGTGGCATAGCGAGGGTCATTCCTAAAAGTCAAACCTATATCTAGCTACATTAATAATATCAGATTTAGAACATAGTGCAAGTGAGGAAGAAAGTTTTATTTAATTTGTAAACATTTTAAAGGGTTTTTTTTTTCTTAAAAATAGTTTTTAAAGAAGAAACATTCTATTGTAAAAAATTAAACCAGAGATTGTTGCAAACATAAGATCAAAACTTAAGTTTTAAAAAATTTAAATTATAAATATATATATATATATATATATATATATATATATATATATATATATATATATATATATATATATATATATATATATATATATATATATATATATATACATATATATATATATATATATATATATATATATATATATATATATATATATATATATATATATATATATATATAAATATATATATATATATATATATATATATATATATATATATATATATATATATATATATATATATATACATTTTTTTATTACTTTTATTAAAAAACAGCTTTAACGAAAAAATTGTTTATAAAAACATGAACTTAAAAACCATTTGAATGAAAAAACTATTTATACTTAAATTTTTAATAGTTCATTTATCATACTTGGATTTTTCATCCCTACAAAATCTATAATATAAGTTTAAAATCTGATGAAATAAGAAATGAAAAATGACTGAACAAAACTTTTGAAAAACAATTGGATTCTAATTCTAATTTTATTGATGATGCAATAATAACTAAATTGCAAGCATCTTGTCTGGATTAGAAATTGTAAATGTTAATTAAAATCGCTGGATAGTAACATACCATTACCGTTATAAAATAGTTGTTTAACTCTTAAGTAATTGACTACTTTTAATTAATATTTCAAAATATTTTTTATTTCTGATTAAATTCTGGTTAATACAAAAATATTTGTATTTTGCATGCAATAATTTTTGAATATATCAGAATTTAATCAGTAATATTTCTACTGATCTATTATTAAGAAAAGCAGCTGAAACTTTATCAAACAAAACTGTCGTTCATTCTGTTCATATAAAAAATACAAGTGTTTATCAAAGAAGTCCATGGAAAAGTGGAAAATTGTTAATAATCACAATGTTCTCTAGTACTGAAATTTTTATGTTGAAAAGTCAAAAAAAAATAAAGAAAGATCTAAACAAAAGCATTTTGTTCTAACTGCTCTTGAAGCTATGCAAGCCAAGTTAAATGATCTGGAAAAAAAAGAAGAGTCTAAAAAATTAAAAATATGAAACAACCTGGGGCTAAAAGAGATTAAAACAGCAACAGGATAAAGATTTAGAGAAACAATACAAAAATATTTTGTTATTAATAAGTAAAAAAATTCAAAGATATAACTTCCATCAAAATCATATTTATATCAAGTTTTGATCTGACTTATTAGACTTGTTTCTTAAATCTCCTTGGTGAGATCTCCCTGCTTGTGTTGATTTCATTCTTTATGCTTTAGTCATAAAAAATGGAAAATTAGATTCACTGATTATAATGAAATCTAATCAATGAGCCTTAACTAATGGCATTACACAGATGTTTTAAATAATAGTCTTATACAAAATAATGCAACTTTGTTGACTTGTTCTTTTTCTTTATTAGTTATTTTACCATTTGGTTGTGTACATAGTTGTTAAGTGATTTTAATTTTTATATTAATGAAATTGATGATTAAACGTTTAGTTAATAATCAATATCTAACTTGCCATTAAAAAGCAAACTGGCAATAATTGGTAATTATAATAAGTACCGTTAACTGGTACTTATTCAAATTTTAAGTTCAAACAAAATTTGTATGCAATATTTTTTTAAAAATTTGAAAACAATTATTAAAAACAGATTGAAAAAATGTCTATTAGTAAATTAATCAAAAAATGTAAGTTATATTTATTGTATGTGTATAATTAAATGTCAGTGAGTGATATTTATTTATAGAGTAAATTAAAAAAAAAAATCTGTAAATTTATATAATTTTTATATACTTGATTGAATTTTATTTAAAAATAGTTAGTAATAAAAATAAAAAACTAATGATTTTGAGGTCATAAATTCCACTGCTATGTTTAAATAAGTTCTTTTAAGACTTGAGTCTCACTCGCCACAACCTTACTATAGCACTTTTGAATTTATTAATCAATAAATTTAAAAAAAATATGCAATACATTAATTCGCATGGCCTTATTTTAAAGTGTTACGCATAGAGCAATTTACATATGCCTTTAATGATTCTAAATAAGTAAGCGATTTTGGTTAAAGGACTTAATAATTTTATAGCTTTTAAATTATTCTATAAGCGGTAAAATGGAAAAAGTAATTTTCAAAAAAAACCACATTAACTTTTGAATGATGATTACATAAAAATATTTGTTACAAACGTTTGAATAATAATTATGATAGATATAAGTGCTATTTACTAATAAGAAAAACTCAAATAAAAAGAAATAATTTTTTTTTTTTTTTTTAATTTTATTGTAATGATTGATTTTTCTTGCTTGAAAATGCTAATATTTTAAGCTTGAAGCAAAGTTCATTATAATATAATTTAATTCTGATAAAAAATATATGATTTAATTTTAAAATAGTTTTATAAAAATATATAATTTTATTCTTATAAAAATATATATATATATATAATTTAGATTTAAAAAATGTATATTTTAATTTTTATTTAAGAAATATATTTAAGTTTATTAAAATTTAAAGTTAATGCTTGGGTTTAAATAAACTTTCAAATTTATTTGAAAGTATTACTAAATATTGTTAAATATTTAAATTTTATCTATTCTTAAAAAAAAAATTAACTTATTTTTATCGCAATTAATTTTTCAGTTTCCTTTTTAAGCATTTTTTTTTACTCATATATAAACGTATATAAATATATATAAACGTATATAAATATATACAACGTATATAAATATATATAAACATATATAAACATATAAAACGTATATAAATATATAAAACATATATAAATATATATAAATAAACATATATGAATATATATAAATATATTAAATGTATATAAATATATGAAATGTATATAAATATATATAAAATGTATATAAATATATATAACAGTATATAAATATATAAATGTATATAAATATATAAAACGTATATAAATATATATAAACGTATATAAATATATTTAACATATATAAATCATTTATAAATGGCTGCATCAAAAATTTGCACAGAACATAAGTTAAACATTTTTATTAATAACACAAGTTAAATTGCAGCTATTATTTTTTAATAAATAATATATATTGTGATAAAACTTTAATAAATGATGTTTGGAAAAATAATCTTTGCTTTCACAACAAAACCGTTAATAAAATAATAAACATTTTTAATAAATAAAGTAAATAAATTAACATAATTTTTTTATTTGTTACTCTCTAACTTTTTTTTAATAAAAAATCATTTGTAGTTGCCAAGTCGCAATTAGAAATTAAAAAAATAATCATCTAAAAATTCAAAAATTTAACATATTCATATATGGAAATGTCAAGAAAAGAAAGAAATTTGTTACTATTAAACATTTTTTTAAATGTAATATTAAATTTATTTATTCAAATACTTAAAAAAAAATATATATATTAAAATAAACATCCCCCTATAGTAATAATAAAAAAGAAGATAAATAATATTTAACTCGTTTTGCGGTAATTAATACTATTGCAGTAATTTAAAAAAAAGGTAAAGGTCTTTAAAAAACAAAAAAATTAAGAGAATTTCATGACGTCAAATTCACATTAAATTATTGCGTTAGGCATTTTTTATTTAAAAAAATGCCTGATATTGTATTTTTCAGCCAATACTGTCAACTGAGCGATTTGAGTGTGTGTGTGTGTGTGTGTGTGTGTGTGTGTGTGTATGTGTGTTTCAAATCAAGTGTGTTTACTAATATTATTTTTAGAAAAACTTTTATTATCTAACGCAGCAGTGCATTTATAAGATTACATAAATATTATAATTATTACTGGCTTAGAGCACTTTTGACTTTATATATTAATATATTTGAGTGGAGCAATTTGATAAATAATTTTATAAATAATTTGAGTGAAGCAATTTGAATAATTTTTGGTATTTATTTAGGTTTGCCTGTCATTAGGATTGTGTTTTAGTAAAAAAGAAAACCTTCATTTTTTTAATTAGATTTTGAGGTTCTTCTAGAGCTAAAGATTTTTGTGGAATTCTAATAAAAGAAAAAAACATTTCTCTAAAATATGTCAACCTGCTACTTAAAGTTGCAAAATAACATTTTAGTTTTAAAAATATTTTATGGAATTTTTTTGTTAAAAAAAAACTTTACAAAATTACAAAATTAGCATACTAATACTTGCCAATATTGGTATGCCAATATTGTTTAACAGTATTGGCCCAATATTGCACCATTATTGCTTACTTGCAACATATGTAAAAAATGGGGGTTTTAACAGAAAATAAAAATTATTTTTTTAACTTGAATTTAAAATGATAATAAAGAATATTTTAAAAATCACCATCCAAATCTAATATCCATGCCTGTACAATTTATGCGCATTAAATAAACAACATAATAAGTAACCATTTTAATAACTAACAGCTATTAGTAACCATAGTTTAACAATCTTTCCAATTTTTTAAAAGCAACTAAATTTTAATTTAATTCATAAAAACAAAACTAAGAAAAACTAAAGAGAAAACATAATGCAACAAGAATTATAATATATCTTTATAATTCATTTATGATTACTGCAGATAAAAATCCAATAAAATCCTATATTTAAAAAAAATTGTTAGACATTTTTTCTTAACAATTTTTGTAACACATGCATACAACCAGGGATGCAGATCTCTAAAAATTTCAAACTTGAAAGTTACAAAAAGATTACTTCCAAGTTTTTGATATCCAGGAGCTCTAAAAGTATAAAAAAAGTAAGATGACTATGGGGAAAAAATTGAAACTTTTAGATTAGAGAAAAAATCAATTTTTGAACCTTAAAACCTTAAGTATAGAAGTAGCAAGGACTTAATGACTACGGACAATGACACTTTTTTCTTATAGAAGATCATAAGTTAAACAACATATTTAGACCTTCTAGATACTAGATACCAAGGAAAAAAGAGATATAAAGTCAGCGCCATTTAGAGAATCTGCATCCCTGCATACAACCATGTAAAAATGTCAAGCTAATGTGCCAATATTGGCATATCAATATTGGTTGATGGATGAGCATGCCAATTTTTTAGTTACTAGTATTACAACATAAAATTTGTTGGTCAAGTGAAAGAAAAGATAATAAGTATAAACAAATGTCATCAGCAATATTGACTAAGTTTATACTCATACATTAATTAGGTAATATAATTAATAGTATCAATTGCACATTTTAACATCTGGTGCAATTAACTGTCAGTTTTTTCTATGCTATCTTTCTAACTTGACTTGTTCTGACTTTCACTCCAACTTTCTTCATTCTTCCTAAACTCACTTACTCTTGGTTAGCCAGGCGCGTGATGATGCTCTTTAGTGAGCTGAACTTGTCTTTCCTGGCCCACGAATGTGACCTCTATATGGCAATTAGCCAGAGGAGGATAAACCATAATACCCAAGTGAAAAGAAATATAATAAAAATTAATTGCAAGCTAGGGTTAGAGAAAAATACAAAAATAGGAAGCAAATATAAAGTGATTTGGGTTGTCTGGAAAACAAGTCACAAACACAATCATCTGGATGAAGATTGAGAGGAAAAAAATTAAACCTCACTGCTAGCAAAGTCATTGGTACAAAAAAAAAGACATTAAATGTGATGAACATTTAAACCAGTTATACATTATTTTTAATTTCACGTATACATTTTATATTAGAGAATATTGGTATAAAGGTAAGAGCTTAGACAATTTAATAAAATATAATGTTGAAAAATATTTGCCTTGAAAAAGGATGAACAATAACTAAAAATAAAAAAGTTGATTGAGTGTATTTTGTGTTACACAAAAAAAACATACACACATAAAAGTCAGAGTATTTAAATCTAATGTCACAATATATAATATACATAAGTATTTTACCCAGGCCAAGTATGTTATTATTGGAGTTATTGTTAATCAAATTATAATTTCTGTAACAGCAATTATAGTTATAACTATACCAACATAAATAGTTTAACAAGCTGTTTATATATATACATATAAAAATGTGTATGTGTAATTCTTGTAGTATTTTTAATAATAATCAATTTTTCTTGAAGCAGACTTTAACATTTCAAGATCATAAAAAAGTTGTGAAGCCTTTAACAAAAAATTCCTGACTAAAAACTAAATAATAAATTTATTTATTCTTGATACCATTTATTATTATTTTGATACAGGGATACATATATTATTATTTATACTTGATACCATTTACTATATAATAACTTAACTAGTTGAAAAAGTTATTTAAAAAAAAAAGTACAAAAATGGTTTTGTTTAAAAAAGTATGACTATTGGTTTTTAAAAAATTATAACTTAATGTAGTTTAATAAAAATACCTGCAGTAAAGCTCAAAATTTTATTCATTGGAAGTGATATTTTTACACTTATATTTGTGCCTTGTGTAATTACCAAAAAAAAATTGTAGAAGCCATTGACTTGAACTGTTGAGGGAATTACAAAAACTCTTCCAATATTCTCATCTACTTGAACCCAAGAAGTTGCATTAAATGGATCTGTATAAGCATTTCCAATAGTTTGAGACCAGATCTGTAATCCAGGCAAATAGAACTGTGTCTTAACTATTGTACTGGTGACAAAATTTTGAAATAACAAAGGTAAATCATTAGGCAGTGGTACCGCAAATGCATTTGAAGCATTACCTAAATTTGAAAATATTGCTACATACACATATAAATATATATATATATATATATATATATATATATATATATATATATATATATATATATACATATATATATATATATATATATATATATATATATATATATATACATACATATATATATATATATATATATATATATATATATATATATATATATATATATATATATATATATATATATATATATATATATATTTATATATATATATATATATATATATATATAAATATATGTATATATTATATATATATATATATATATAAGAATATATATATATATATATATATATATATATATATATATATATATATATATATATATATATATATATATATATATATATATATATATATATATATATATATATTCTTCCTGATAAACCTACTGATGGTGAAACATGCTGTTGAAGAGCACAAAAATTAGATAAGTGTTTTTTACTAAATTATTATTGCTCTGTTCTTTAAGAACATTGAGCACTCTATTTGTACAATTCACTAACATAGTTTATATATATATATATATATATATATATATATATATATATATATATATATATATATATATATATATATATATATATATATATATATATATATATATATATATATATATATATATATATATACTCATTAAGTATATATATGTGCGCACATCTCCATGATTCTATATTATCATTATTAGGTGATACTATACTCTCAATAATATGCTGCCTTCTTGAGTGATGAACCTAAAACATTAGTTACATGTATCGAAAAACAGAACAGAAAGCTGTTACACCACCTCTCAACATATGTTTTTGCAGTAAAAATAAAAGTTTGTTTACTGTATCAAACAATAATTTATTTAGGACATTTTTTTTTCCGAAGTCTAAGTACTTTTTTTTAAGCTGATAATTACAAATTGAAAAGTTTGTAATCAGCTGCATTTAATCATCTTAACCTATGAATATATGGTACACACTTTGTAAAACATTTACTTGTAGTGATAATTGGAGCTAGCAATTGCTGTGTACCTTGATGGTACCATTAGGATACAAAATATTTATTTAAGAAATTTATGAGATAGAGTTTATCAAACATTTTGTAAAGTTTTATAATCTCAAGGCCTGTTCAACCCAATTTGAACTTATTTCAACAATAAAATGTAGGATTGGATGTTAAAAGCAGGCAAATGAATACATTTTCAAAGATTTTAAACTCCTGCCATTCACTGTAACAGATCAATTGCTGCCTGTGCCTGAAGACCAGTCTGAAAACCAAGTTATGAATATTGAAGACTTTTTGAGCATATCTAGGTACTCAACTGATACTGGCGTGACTAACTGCAGTTTTGCCTTTTTAGCAAAATAGATAAGCCCTAACATTGTTTAGGGGTAGCTCAAGACCATTAAACATTAGACTGTTCCCTATAATTATCAAAAAAAAAAATTTCTCCTAGGGTGTCTCGAACTAGAAAGAGTTGCCCTCAGGAAAAGTCATGCCTTTCAACCACTGGTCCTATATAACTTCAAATTAAAACAGAAATAGCTGAAAAGATCAGATTTTGAAAAAATCCAACCTGGAGTTTTAATATTGGCACAAATTCAAGACAAATGTGTTAAACACTGCAGCAAAGGTACTAGAAGTTAAAAAAGTACCTAATACCTTAGGTTAATAAAAAAAAAAAATGGTACTCTGTTCTGTATATTATATAAATATTATATTTTGATCAAAAAAGTTTTTTTTATATTTATCTATTTATAAAACATCACACGTCACATTGTTACATCTCGCTACTCAGCGTAGTTAAGGAGAGATCCGAAGAAAATTATAGCGTTTAGGCCCTTTCGCTTTCGTTTTATTTTATGAGCGCTTTGACGGGTTTTTATTTTATTTTTTTAAATTAAAAAGCTCGTTGTTTTATTTTGTTTTCAAATATTCAGTGATTTTATTATCCACCAGTTTGAAGTTTTAGCTTAATACTATGGGGCAGAAGTTATACAAAGGCTGAAACGTTTTTGTTTAGTAATTCAAACGACTATAAAGAGATTATGGTAGTAAATTGCTATGAGTGAAAACTAATGTGAAAACTTCAGTTTTAATGTTTTTACTGTTTACGGAATGATAAAATAAGAGGTTTTTAGTCATTTATTAAATATTTTAATGCTGTGAAGGCGTTTTGTGTATTTTAGTGGTAGTTTTTTTTTTGTTTGATGTTTTGGTTAAAAAAAGATTTATAAAAAAAATAATAAATTTTATATATAAAGCTTAGGTTCTACTTTTTAAAAATATATTATAATAACATTCGAAAATTAGCAGAAAACACAAAAAATAGAAGTTTAAAAATGTAAGCTTTTGTTTTTAAGAAATGCAAATCGTTCGGATCTCTCCTTAACTACGCTGAGTACGCAAGTGTCTTGGTTAAATGACGGACATTAAACACCTTAACAAAAGGACATTAACATAACGGAATTTACGTAACTAACATTACAAACAGACTTAACGGACATCAAAAATACAATTAACGGACATTTGATATGTAACAGCTTTGTCATAAGAACTTATTTATTTTGACTACGGTAACAGTATCTGTGGTGCTCTTTGATAAAACCGTAAAAACTTCTTGGGTCACTTAAATAAAATTAAAAAAAAAAGAAAAAAAAGAAAAAAAAACAGTTGCGTAAAAGAATCACACTGCTTCAAAAGTTGTCAATAAATTACGCCACGCTTTAGGGTGTGTGAATAGGTTTAGTGGTTTCGTGAAGACTCATATGGATCTTGTTATTAAAGAGTGATGAGGATGAGGGAGGGGAGAAAAGGGGTGTAAAATGGTCAAAAATTTCTTGACTAAATTTGTAGACGTCCCCTTACATAAAAAATGTTACGCAAAAATATCGAACATTTTTAACCAAAATGTAAAGTATAATGTTGTGTATTTTTAATATATAAAATAACTTATCATTACTATTTAGTTATTTGAAACTAAGTAAATAGAAGTAATAATCAAAAAAAGACCTAAAAAGAATAATAAGTACCTTTTAATATATTTGTTTGTATTTCAACTTCTTTATCTACAAAAACAATAGCGGGATTAAAAGCTATGTTCCATTCAATTATACCTAATGAGAGTGAGAAAAATGCGAAATTGGTCAAACTGCAATCTAAAGTAGTATTGTTATTTAAGCATGAACTTGTAAGACAGGTATCAGTTGTTGATACTTGTAAAGGTGGAAGTGAAGCGTTTCTGCAGAAACAAAGCTGTCCTTCAAGAAAAAAAGCATCACTGAAAATTGGTGGTGAATATGAATTGCACACACTAATACATGAAATATTTGATTCTACATGATAACCACTTGCTGTTAATTGCATATTTGTAGAGTCGCCATCAATACAACCTGAAAAAACTTTAAAAAAATGAAAATAAATTATAATAATTATGCTTCTCTTTAGCCATTAAGTAAATTAAGATTTAATGTAAATGAAATCTAACTTTATTATAATATATTATAAAATAATATTTATAGTATAAAATTTTGCTATACAGTAAAAGTTTATAATAGCTATATAAATATAGTTGTTGTTATTATTGCTATTATTGCTATTATTATTATTATTATTATTATTATTATTATTATTATTATTATTATTACTATTATTATTATTATTATTATTATTATTATTATTATTATTATTATTATTAATATTACTATTATTATTATTACTAGAAAAATTCATAAAACGTGTCATGATAGGTCTGATAAATTTAATAAATATGGCTGCATATTAATTTTTTTGAAAAAATATATATTTGTTTTTATTTTAATATATATTATACCTGATTACGCTAATCACAATTGATCATCGAAATATTGAATAATATATATTAAAATAAAAAAATATATATATTTTTTCAAAAAAGTTTATACACAGCAGTATTTATTGACTTTTAACTACATCTAAATATATATATCTAAATATAAATAGCGCAATGAATATTATTATTATTAGTGCGCATATTTACGCATTTTCGTTTTGATAATTACGGCTCTGTATTCTGTAAAATACACTATTTCTTGATTTTTAAGTTTTTCTAAGTGCGGTTATATATTCCACGAGTAAAGTCAGCAAGCAAATTAGAGCTGATATATCTTTATTTTCGATTAAAACTGATGTTGTTCATTGTTTAAAATAAAAATTTAAATAATAGTTTTTTTTGGTTGGTTGTTTTTATTTTTCTAATTTTTATAGCCTGTTTTAATTTATTAGAAGAAGCTAGAACTAAAATGACTGGTAAAATAGTTTTTTTCGTACAATGTTTATTTTTTAAGAAAACTGTTTCCATTTTGTCGTTAGTCTTTATATATCATTTTAAGCAAGTATTGTTTTATTTTATAGAAAAGTTAGGAGGAGCTGATGGCTTTTTTAGTAATTTCAATTCATTTTCTTATTTATAGATATTAATTTTTTTTTTGTAGAAAGAATAATGGGAATAAAATTTTATTTATGTATTTAATATGAAAAGTTATATAAAATAAGACTGTTATTTGAAATCATTTAAGTTTATATACACAATTTTTTGTTTATTTCAGTCTATTTTATATTTCTCTATATCTATATGTATATTTATATATACTCTTAAGAAAAATAATAAGGAGTACAAAAATTAAAAAATATTCTTCTGGAATTTGTCAAAAAAGTGCTGTGTTATGCTTCATTTTAAGGTATTTGAATATGTATTTGTTATAAAATTTTTAACTTTGGTTACTTCTTTTTCATTACTTTAGATAAATATATACTGACTGAAATAACTTCATTTTTATTAACAATGTTGTGCATTGTAGTCTGCATTCTTTGTTACATTAAAAATAATTGATGCTAATAAATGTTATTTTACAGTTTTTAAAAGTTTGCATATTATGTTTATATTACGCTCAAAGTTAAAAAGTTTTTGATAAATACGTGTATGTGGTGATATATGTTATATAGTTGTTTTATAAATGTGTTTTTATAATTGTATTAAATGTATTTTATCAAAAATGTGCATGATTGTTAAATAAGGTATTTTTATATGTTATGTAACATTAAAAAAAAAAATTTTATATAATGTTGTTTCCATGATTTCAAAGTGGTGTAACTTGGCAAACGTGTAGAGCAAGATTTGTCAACCTTAACAGTCAGGCGGTGTTACTGCTTTAGGTCTAAGTGTTGCCTAGCCTTCAATATAACTATTCTGATAATACATAACATTATCTTTGATAATTTTTTGCATAATATTGTTACCTTTGGCATATCTTTATGTTGGTGTCAGTTGTTAAAAATGATTAATACGTAGTTTCATTACTAGAACTGACTGCTTTTATTTATTTACTAAAAGTCATTCAAGACATTATTTCGCTATAAATACATTTTGTTTATCATGAAATAACAATATTTAACAACTACTACTCAGGTATCACAACAGTTTATATCTATCAGGCACATTGATTTTCATTTCACATATGATATTTTTCTTTGCATTTACTTATTTGTTACCTTTTTTAACTTCAGATTTATTATATGGTGTATTTATAATTTGTTTTTTAAAATTGATAAACATCCTATTCAAAGTGTAGTAGGATCTATATAAACGGGGGGTCGTAACTAAGAACCTTTAGAAACATGGAGAATACTGTAGTTTTGCGCATTTGTCGATTTACTTATGTTTTATTTACATCTTTAACTAATTTGTTAGCTTAGTCTGAATTTGCATCACTTTTGAGAAAAGAAAGAAAAAATTCTTATATATGTAAGTCATTGTTTTATATTTTATTATTTTGGTTAAAGGTCTTCATCAAAAATTTGATTACTCTTAATAAAAAAAACTCTACTCACCAGGCCACCATTAAAGCAAAAAGAGGGGAGGAACCTCTTTTTTAATGTCAAAATATTTAGGAAAATTAAATTTTGAGTAACAAAAAGATTTTTTAGAAAATGGTAGCAAAATACCGTTTTTCTAAAAATTAATGAAAAAAAGAGGCTAATAAAATAATATAGAAATGGTCTGTGTTGAGCAGACTTTACAAGACCCGGGTCCGGTCAGCTTGGTTTACAATTTTTTGTACCTATTTATCTGTTACAACTTTTACTTTAGGTTTGTCATATGACGTATTAAAGTATATAAAAGATCAAACGTAAGTGTTTGATTTTGTTTAAAACGTATTTGTACTCAGCTGCTCAGAAGTTCCTGTATAATATAAGTTAATCTCATCTTAATCTTAATGAATAATTAAAGTTCATGTTTTAAAAATTATTTACAAGGATTTAGTTGATACTTTCGTCGATTTAAAGCATGATAATGTGTTATTATTTTGTGTCAGTAACTAAAAAGGTTTGTGTTGAACTTAGGAATGTCAAGGAGAATGGTTCTGCTTTAAACTATTATGATCTATGTCAGTTGCAAAAAACTCAAATAATGTTAAATAGTAATTGTAAATGTTAAGTAGTATTTGGTGAATTATTTTACCTATATATATATATATATATATATATATATATATATATATATATATATATATATATATATATATATATATATATATATATATACTATATATATATATATATATATATATATATATATATATATATATATATATATATATATATATATATGTATATATATATATATATATATATATATAGACCTGGCGCTAGACATTTTAAAGGTGGGTGAAAAAAATATTTTGGTGCCTTATTAAAGAAAATTTTAAATTTTTAAATGTATTTTAATAAAAAAATTTTTAAAGAAGGTTATAAATAATTTATTTTGAAAATAGTACTTTTCAAAAAAAATACATCTAAACAATGTCAACGATTAGTTGGCGGAAAAATGCACATACATGATCAGAGACACCGAGGGCTTTCATAAAATCCGTAGTTTAGTAGCAAAGAGGCGTCCCTATAAGCATGCCTATTTTTTTATAAAAAGCATCTAGAGCTACAAAAGTTAACGACTGTATTTTTATTTTAATACTTTTTCCCTCGCTTTTTTACTTGCAAAAATTGTTATTATTATTATGTCATCTTACGATAGACTTGTTTCCAATTTATTTTCAAATTTTATGTCCGATAGACTTTCTTAAATCTTTCAATTTATAGTGGCCCTACAATCATTTTTTAAAATCAAGTTTAGTTTACTTTAAAGGTTGTTCACCTTCTGCGACTCATCCATGCAATGCGCTAAAAAATTCAAATTAGAGTTCATATAGATTGGAAAAATGGGTATAAACCTTTTAAAAGAATTTGATTGAGAAAGCAAAAAGTGTTTTCAGAAGTGAAAAACGAAAACTACTTCAAACTAATGAGATGCCAAATATCTTTCATAAAGCTGTCTTCTATTTCAAGCTTTTATTTTTACCTGTTCTCGATCTTTTAACCAGATGAATGAGAATTTTAACAAAACAGTTTTGCAATCCTAATTTCAAATTGAACTTTGAATGTTGAATGCATATCCAAGTTTACTGCAATTTTGTTATTATTATATGCTTTGCGACAAATTTTGTTTCATCACCGAGACGAATCATTTTCTGATTATGGGTCGATGTTTTGGTTGAACGTAACTAAAACAACGACTATAGAACAGCAGTAATTTTTTGTGATTGCTTTGCAATTAGTTTTATAGCGGCAATCTGAGCTGAGCGTCTGGTATTTAAAAGCTTGTCAAGCAAGATTTCATTTAGCAGGACTGTTGCTGAAAATTAAAAGATCTTTGATTTTTATTTATTTATTACAATAGTCAATAAAACTTATACATAAAAATATAAAAATTGATGTAACACCAGGCGTTATAGAAGTATAGACCGGCGTATATTCGTTTAAATTTGTATTACGAAATTTACTGAAGGCGAAGTTGACATCGACTTCGATTTCGGTACCGAATTTGAAATAGAAATTCGGCTTTCAGTTAAATTTGGTAACAATTGCAAAATTTTATTTAACTTTTACTTAAATTCAAAAGTTAATTATTTTTTCATATTAAAAAAGAAAAAGTGTTATAAATTATATTGCATGTTTCATATATATCAAACTGTTTCTTTTGGCCTTGTTTGTCAAGGTTCGTGTTTTAGAGTTAAAGAGCTAAGGGGTTGGTAACCACTATTAAAATAAATATAGATAAAAATAATAATAATAATAGTAATAAGTAGCCTTCACGACTGAAGAGGCCCCTCAGTCATTGAAAATAAAATCATTAAAAAAAAATTGAAAACATGTGGCAGAAATAGATTTGTTTAATAGAGCCAATAATATTAACAATGCCTCATAAGTTAGTTTAAATTCGATAGTCCGAATTTTGCATTGAATTAGATTTATTTTTTAAATCCAAATTTGGCTTTTAGTTAAATACGGTTTAAAAATACAAATTCGT